GCAATGTGTATTTGAAAAGTTTATCAGATCTACAGATGCACCCGCACTAAGAGAGAAATGTCGAATTCAAAGTGCATATGTGCGTCTCAAGCCTCAGGCCTCAGGCGCGAAGAGGCCGGAGTGGGAGCTGCCGTTTCCGAGAAAAATCGGTTCACCCTCCCATAAAAAGTTATCACTTCAATAATAATAATCAGTTGTTTTCTGCAAAATTGTTCGACATAGGAGATCGGCCTGGCAAGATGATTGGATTCCCTTAATGATTCTTATGTACGATGTTTCAGTGTTGTCTACAAATAGTTAAAATTAATTAAAATTCATATTTTGTCCATCCATATCCATATAAAATACATAATTTGTAAGCTAAGCGTGGAAAAAGCCCGGGTTCCATGAATCAATCGCGGATAATTCGACGACAAAGTTAAACTTTTTTTTTCTGCATTTTGATATTTGTCCGCTTGTATATAATTCTTATGACAATTGAAAATTTGCAAAACCTCAAAAAATATTTTTTTTTGTTTGGTAAATCACAGATGTAAATGGCAAATATTCGCGTTAAATTAAATAAAATTGTTAGGATCGACCTTATTTCTCTACATTCGCATCTTGGAAACTAAGCAATCGCGAACTGATATTCATTGGAATTTTATTGCATTTTAACCTGCAAATTGCATTGCAGGTTAACATGACTCTTAAAAGTTTATATTTACTTTTGAATCATTCTGTATAATTACTTATGTAACTGACTCTAAGTATACTGACTTTTCAACAAAAAAGGGAACCATAAGGAAACAAATATACATTTTTTTGAATAAATGAATTTTACTTGCACCTTTTTAAAAGTATTTGATATTTTAGTTACGTTTCCGGGGATGGTTCCCAGGCGCAGGCTCAAGGATATTTAAAAAATGCTGGCCAAAAAGACACCGAAGCTGAAGTAATCCAAGGATCATATTCCTACACTGCACCAGATGGTAGGCCGGATTAATTTCTGTTAGTTTACGGTATAAATGATTTTTTTTTTTAATGCAGGTACTCCCATTACTGTCAACTGGGTAGCTGATGAAAACGGATTCAGAGCTGAAGGAGCTCATCTTCCAACTCCACCTCCAATTCCGCAAGAAATTCAAAGGTCGTTAGATCTTATTGCAAGGCAACCAATTCAAAGCCAGTACCCCGAGCAATACAGACAGACAAGCTTTCCCAAGCAAAACACTTATCAGACGCAGCGACAGTTCCGCTTTTAAATCCTGAAATTTGGATTACGACCAAGGAAACCGAAATTTGAAAAAATGTGAATGTTACGTGTGTTCATACAAAATTAAAAATAAAATTAAATTAAATTATTGTGTTGCTTATTGTTTATGAATTCCTCAATAACTAAGGTACACTTTTGTAAATATTGCATTTATTAGCTAAGCTTCAGGCCGTCGTTTTATAAACACTCTCTGATAGTAAAAAAAAATATTCATCAAATATAAACTGCATGACAAATGAAAGAGATAAACGAAAACTGGGAAGAGCTGAGTTCTACCAAATCAAATCGTGTGTACTTCATTCAAAATTAATTTTCATTAATTCATTCTTCACAGGAGTAAGGAAGTGTACGGGGGTAAAGTTAAGCTTAAGACGTTCAGGAGAGTGCATTTTGGATACCAATAATGTGGTTTTATTGAATTAATTCGTGGATTTTATTCTGGATTGTACTTGACTGAAGCTGATGATTTTTGAATAAAGTTGTGCTTGCATTTTGAATTCGTGTTTGAACAAAGAAACTGAAACAAAATGAAAAATTCTTTAAATCGTTTCTTTGGGTTGATTTGTGATCAACTTTTTAGTTGATTTGTGACCAACATTGAAGCCCATTAGCTTGAAGACTTAAAAGCTCCAGACAGGTGAGTGAGAAAAATGTTTCAGTTAGTCATTCAAACAGTATGCAATGGAGGAATGCATCCAAAAACTGATTTATTCATTCTCTCTGGGAGTTAAAATATAAAATAAATTGAATATAAAATTTCCACGTTTTAATAAGTAAAGTGAAGTTCAATAACTTTCAAGTGGAAATGTAGCATTTGGATATCGCAAATACCCAAAAAAATTAATAGCGATGTTAGCTTCAAGATGTGCATCAGTTACCAGCAGCTTCGCATATACGATATACGACAAAATTTTTAAACTTGAAATGAATGAAAATGAAATTTAAAAACTATTGACTAAAAATGAAAATATTCAATTACTGTACGGTGCTGTTAACCTTTTTGGCGTAGGTTTTATATACAACAGTTTGCAGGCTCAAACTCAATATACCTTCTAAAATTTAAAAAGAGAAGTTCTTTAAAAAGTTATTTTGTCTTCTACGAATGTAACGTAATGTAAAAACTAACTGGTGCTTTGATGATTGATTTGATGATCTTGTTACACTTATATGACTGCACTTCACCACTTTCACTGCTAAAAACGAATAATTTAAATATATTTTAGGAAAGTTTGGAGTTGCTGACGCAGTCTATTTATTAATATTTTATGATGGAAATACTTTGCAGACATATTTTAAAAGCAGCATTGTTGCAGCAGACTGACATGTTACTCATGGTCTGCATCTAAGAATCAGCAAACAGTTCACTCAACTTTGGATTTATTAAATAAATGTGAAACTCATAAAACATTTACATACGTAACGCTAACTTACATGTAGATCGTTTTCTCGCAATGAATTACACAAAAACTCCAACTCTAAAATTAGAACAATAAACATACATATTGCGATGACATAGGTAAAAATGAGTAAAGCTAAATGGATGATTTTCTCACAATCGGCTGTTAAAACAAGAATCAGAGCTCACCATCGCTGTTGCAACGAAGATTGTCTTTGACAATCAAAGGTAAATCGGTAAGCTCTACATACTAAAATTTTATTCAGCGGTGTGCGAGATATATTGAGCATTTCATTTTTATTCGTCTCGAATAAAACAAGGTAAACTCATAAAACAATTGCATAAGCAAGACTAAGTTACACGTAAATAGATTTGTCGCAATAACTTACACGAAAGGTCCAACTCTAAATCCGGAACATTAAACATATAGCGCCCGAGAACATGTTGGAATATTTATTGCACTGAAAAACCAAATCAAATTCTTTTGAGGTGAAAGCGGGTCCTACGACGCTGAAATTGGTGCTCAAATAGTCAGTATTGAGGTTTCTGTTAGAGTCGCACCTGTGCGAGGTCATAATTAGCCAAAAAGCTTGCTCTGCAGTAAGGTCTAAGTTGTCTAGAAAAACGAATTATCAAGTAAAGGTATCAAGAAAACCAGATCCGATCTGACTTACCAACTGGCTCTGGTGTGAAATATAATTGATAAGCATTGAACGCCAGTCTGGGGCCAATAATGTCGAATATATTCTCATAGCCGAATGCTGATTGAGTTTTGGCATCCTGAAAAACATTGCGAAATGTTACTGCGTACATCGAGGAAAATGAACCAAGCAGTGCTTGGTAGTTCTCACCTTAATGTCAAAGATGCTTATGTACTCGTTAAATTGAAATTCAGTACATTTTGCAACGTTATCAGAGTACAACTTCACATTGTATTTCCAAAATTCGCTTGGGATTATGCAACTGTCTTTGCTAATGTTGGGAAAATTGAAACTTTTAAGGACTGCAGTGGCGATCCAGGCACCTATCGTTGCCATCTGATAATACATTGGCACATCCTCTTTGGGATTTAATGGCAACATGCGAAAAGCAACCGGATTCACAACTGTTGGATAATTTAACTTTGTAACATAGCTTAAACATGCAACTTATTACGAAATACAAGAATGTGTAATTCTACCTGCAAATAGTAGTTATAAATTTACATTATAAGAGACCACTTGTGCTAGTATGTATCAGTTTAGTGTGTTTTGAACTTCACTTTACTTTTCAACATAATATGCGTGTATTTAGTGATACTGTTTAGTATAGATACCTAACGTTTGATGGTTACATATTAAATAACCATATATGTACTTGAGACTTTGAGCTTTATTTGATTTTTTTACGATATTTGAACGAAAGTATTTTTAGACCAAACGGACTATTTCTACGAGTTTGTTACGGTTAAGTTACTGCTTCAGATTTTTCAAATATTTGCATGTCGTTAAATATTATTGTTTAATAAACATAATATGGTGTGTTGCCATTAAAATAGTAATATATAGTATAGAATATAGTAATAGAAATATACAGGGAGATTCAAAATTGACGTCATTCCTCTGGAGGTGTTGTCTGGCGCTGTTATAGGAGTACAGAAAAAATAGTGAAATAAATTAATTGTTATTAAAAACTGAGAAATTTACAAAAAAACTATATCAGAAATACGGCAGCAATGTTTTTCAAGGTAATCTGGCTAATTAATATTGCGCAAATACCTGTTGCTTCGTAATTATTTAAAACTCCGGTAACCATAAGATAGACAAGGATAAACTGTAAATTCAACAAGATTTGTTGACGAAATGTCAACCTGTTCTCACAACTTCGAATTCTGTGGGGTTTTGTGTTTACATAAATTCTCCATACAACACCAAACATTTAAATGGTTAACTCCAAACAAGCTAGTGCGTGTGTAATCTCCTTATTATCCACTCTTA